ACATGTTTGGTTTCCAGAGCTGCAATGCTTTATGTTCCATTGCAATTTCAGTATATAAAAGTTTAGTGGCATAAACAACCTGCATACCAAGGACCCAAAACTAATTTCGTAGTATCAGTTTCATATACTCAAACATAATCGTTCTACATGTGTGCACTCACATGACCTTCCAAGTGTCTTGATTATTTGCGGAACTTTCTTTTTGTCACAGTTGGTGTTTTCCTGGTTTTTTTTTCAGTTGACAGCTAGTTGTGATGTTATATGTAGTTAAGAACTATCAACCCAGGAATGGCACTGTCTTTGAGAAGAGTACTGAAGCCTGGAGTTATTACAAGAGATGCAACAGCTCAATTCGTTTGGGTTCAGAATCATTGCGGTTTGATGCAGAAAAGAAGGGCGGAACAGGTGGCGCGGCTGATGGTAGACCTCCTGTGCTCAACAAAGAAATGAATAGTACAGCTGTGTTTGGGTCCAATCCTGAAGGAGGGTTCTAATCAAGATTCTGAGTGCCCGGCTGTAGGACCTGGTTGGCAAGCGTCTCATACTGACTACTGAGCGAGCTTCGGAGGAAAGATGCCAAGGTACTGCCTTGCAAAGACCTGAGGTGTTCCATCAAGTTGGACAACTGGGATCGTATCAAGGGAAACTAGCTCTCACTGCCAAGAACTAACTGGTCAGGACATATCAGTTATTTGTTTTGCAGTAATGTATTAGGTGGAGCAATTTAATTAGCTTGGCTAACTTGGTACAGTACGTTGCCTAGGCCACAAGTATGTTGATTTGTGTTTCATGCTAAGATGCCCATTTATAGCGTTGTCGATTTAAGTGTAAATCATGAAAGGGAAAATTTGCCATTTGCTTTATTTGTTGACCACCTGCATCATGATCTGCTCTTCTGCTCAAGAACATAGCATACCTTTATGCTACTGACCTCCACGAATGTGTGGTTCTACATACCAATAAAACAGCAAGCAAGGGAAAATCAGTCTGCTACTTTCAACCTAAAATCAGCATCCTTAGAGTATGTATAGCACAGTGCTAATACCCATGTGATGTATTTTGAATCTACATTTGCTGCACTTGCAATGAAAAATACAGAGGAAAACATGATGGGATAATCATACTATTGTTATTCTGGAGGTAGTAGCCGCAAGTCAGTCGAGCTCGTTGGTCGCAAGGGAGGTAGGCGAGCCATTCCGGGCGGCGCTAAACAAAGGGGCGGTTAACCAGGGGAGAGCTACTGCAGGGCGTCTGATCCAGCCGAGATCCAGCGAAAGCTGCTGCAGGATCGACCAGCCGAGATCCAGGGAGGAGGAGGCCGACGGGCGGAAGGCGCCGAGCGGCGGGTGGCGGAGCAAGGTTAGAGGGAGAGGGGAGCGGTAGGGAGGCGCTGGCGTGGGCTGCTTCGTCGCGTTGCCATCATGTGTCTGCTGGATGCGGCCAGCGCTCGGGTCGCGCGGCGGCGGAACAGGGGATCGAGGGTCCGGCGCGTGAAAAGGGAAGAGGAAAAGGATCGTGAGAAAAAAGGAGCGAACGAAACAGAAAAAAATGATCGAAGGAAAAGAGGAGGAGATTTCCCGCGGCGCAACCTACCAGACAGACAGGGCGTCTGATCCATCGCGCGGGCGCGGACGCGCTCCACCAGATAGCATATATTACCTTTTTCTGAAAGTCTGATAGCGTATAGTATTACTGAAATATGTCCACGCAAAAAAGAAATACTAAAATATGTGATCGACGTAGCCCTTCTTTTTTTGTTTGAAAGAAGATACTAATTCTATTGACCAAACTTTGATTATCTGCAACTTGTAAACCACAAATCCAAATGACCTCATTATTTTTTATTTTTTTTAAATTAAACTAATTTTTATATAGTAATTTGGTTGCATACTATTACCTACTTACTTAAGTAGTGTAGGTAGCATATGTCGGACAACAATCAACACGTATCAGCATCCTGCACCACTCATGTGATCACTATCATCGCCTCCGATGATCGGGTCGCCGTTAACGACCGAGTCGACTCTGGTCGCAGCTCCGTCAAAAGCTTCCAAGACTGTGTGCTCCATTCCCGAGCCCTCCGTCCATCTACCCGGGAGTCGTTGCAATAAATCAGTATAAATAAGAAATATACAAATACGTAAATTTTTGACATACCCCAACCTAAGGTGACAGGGCTCGTTCGCCCCCTTGCGTGTGGATTCGATGTAGGACAGATCCGACACGGAAAGGCGTCGGGATGCAGGGCTGTTTTATTTACATAGGTGAATCTCTATGCTTATCATTTGAACAAAAGCGGCATAGTTATGTTGGACCTGCTCTGGTGTGGACAAACCCTCGACCGATTATCCAATAAAATGAAAGATGCTGAGATCACCCCATTTCAAGATCGGAATGTAAGATCGAGACTGACATATATCGACCGTCTCATCAACCTATCCCATCAGTACTTATGTTTCGAGACAAGAGGATAACCTAATAGTTTTAAAGTGAGGGTCGCATGAGGTTTCTGTGACATGTAGTTCAAAACCGACCAAATTTTTAATGCTTTGACCAACAGTTGACCAAGGCACAAATTTTTGACATATCACAACCTAAGTGTAGATCCATGATGAAACAACACATTCCTAATTGGCTGCGGTTAGATAGCTAGATCGGTTAGCTAGGGTTTGCTCATTGGGAAATGCCAAATATAGTGGCGTGAAGACCTCGGTGCAACGGTGTAGACCATGTGCCCCACGCAGTATGACTCGAAGGGGCGATGCAGCGGCAGCGCGAGGGTCGATGCAGCCGTCGGGACCATGTGTCGCGAGGCTATGACCCGAAGGGGTGATGCAGTGGCGGCGGGCGAGCCGGTGCAGTCATGGGGGAACCACGGGGCGGTGGCAGCCTGATGCTCGATCGATGGAGGGGCGCACTATACTCAGGAGAGTCTTCACAGGACCTGCGGAGGCGCGCGCCACCGATGGGCCAGATCGGTCGCACGGCATAGATGATGCGGATCGTGGGCGGGCGGGCCCGCGCGAGGTCGACGACGCCGCTTGGTGGAGGCGGGGCGGCGGCGGAGTCCAAGATGAAGCCGGCTATGATGGATGGCATTGGACGACGTGCAGACAAGCGTGTCAGCCCGGGCAGCAAGGCTCGAGTGACCAACGCAGCAGTCGCGCCCGAGCTGAGGCAGCTGGCGAGCACGACACAACCGGCGAGCCCAACACATCCGGCTATCCTATATTTCCAATCCAATCATGATACTTAACATGATTAACATGATGATCCCCTATCTATCTATGCATAAACTACCTGATCTAGGACAAAGATGATGATGAGATAGATGAGCTATGACTCTATTCTCCCCATATGTGTGGAAACCACAACACCTTCGATGCCTTCGATGGAGACGATCTATATGTTCTCCGTGTAGGTATTTTCATGCGAGGTTCTAGTATGCCCTGATAGCTACTATTTCTGCCATGTGATTCTCACAACGCCAATCTTTCGCTTGCGAGGTTCTACTTCGGCGTGGTCATTGGGTCTTCTTTGGATTGGATTATATGGATCGGCGTTGTCCTCGCACTAGAAGCCCGGGTGAGTTGGCAGCCCGGGAGCGATGGTTACGATTAGCTAGCTAGTTCAGTTACCTAGGGTTTACTAGTTGGAAAATGTCGAATATATGTGGTGGCATTGGATTTTGGTTGTATGATTAACATGATGATCCCTTGTATATGTATGTATGTATGTATGTATGCATGCATGCATAAACTACTTGTTGATCTTGTGTCGACTACGTACTCTCCCCACCATCACAACCGTCATGTAAGATTGGCAGTGACACGGACATCTATCTCGGCTAGTCAGCAAATAACCTTTTACGAAAAAAAATTAGTAATATCATTTTCAGCAGCAGATATATTTTCATATTGATTCAAAATATATTTTTTCCAATTTATTTCACTATTCTAAATGTTTCCTTAAAAAAATTGCTTTCCAAACAAACAACTAAGCGTGTACTCTGCTTTAGGGAATTAATTTTTAATTAACCTTCCCGCTAAAGCCTTCAGTCTCCCTCCAATTCCTTTTGTAATTTCCCCGCTAAACACCCCTCACAAATACCGCCAATTATTTCTCTTCACCAAATCGTCAAGATTGGATCTGAGCTCTCTCGTTCGGGTTCCTCCATCCTCACGGCGTCATGTCGGTGTCGACACTACGAACCACACCAACCGGAGTCCATCGAATGAACACTACCTTAGGTTATTCCTTTCTCCCAAATCTCCTCCTTATATATGTGCAGCGCAGCACCTACGGGGCGGGCGGAAGCCGTGTCCTGGAGGAGGCAATACTCGGAGAGGCCGGGGATGAAACCGGCTAGGCCCTTGTAGTCGGCGAGCGTGGCCCAGATGGCCTCGAGCGACGCACCAACCCACACCCGCGCGCGCACCAACCGCTGGTTCTTCTTCCCCGGCAGCTTCCGCAACTTCTCTCGAACCCGTACCGCTCTCCGGTCATCCCACTACAAGAAAACAAGTCAATCGATGATGGAATTGTGATGACATTGTCAGAAACTGTCATAATTTATGATGATTTGTCTGGTTCTTCGCAAAATCCGTCATATATAAGCAACATGAGGATGGCACCCCAAATTGGTAGACCCATCATGACAGATAAAGAGGGAGTATCACCATAACCGTCATGGTTTGAACAATTAGGTCCGTTCATATACACCATTGGGACCGTGATGGATGGATGGTGCTGATGTGGCAATCCAGCGCGAGGAATAACTTGCGATGTGATTGGTTGAGCGAACCAACCGACGGATCACAAATCCAGACCGTCTACTCTTCCGTGATCCAACGGCAAGCAGTCCTATGTAGATGTCCGCCGGCTTCTTCCTTCCCCTTTGTCCGCCCCGACTCCCCTGATCTCACCGTCCTCCTCTTTCAGATCCTCCCCCTCCCCATCCACGGTAGCCGCCACCTCCCCATCCATGGCCATCTGCCCCTATGCGTCCCGCAACCGCCGCGACGACAGCCTCGTCCCCAGAGGCGGGGACTTCCCTTAAGGCGAACCTAGTGCACGTGGCGCCGGTACCGTTGATGCGGGTCGGGTGGCAGCCAGATCTGCCACGGCCAGAACCGGTGTCCTCTTCCTCCCTATCCAGCTTCCTCCCATGGTTGAGAAGAGGGCTTCGTCAAGGATCCCATGATGAAGGTCAACGTGGGAGGCTGCTTCCTTCGATGGAGGCCATGAGTGCCACGTGGGCACACACGTGGCTGCGCTTCAAGGTCAACCCTCGCCCATCCTTTCTCTTCGATTTGATTTGATCCCCTCCCCTGATTTCCTTCCCCACGAAGTTGCAGCTCGACAGATGCAGGGACGCCACCATGGAACAGTCAGGGCCTCCCTTTTCCTCCCGTTTCGTCCGATCCTCCACTGCCAGCCATTTCCGGCGCCCCTGCACCACGGCGGCGGTAAGGCCACGACCCTTCCTTCCTCCTTGCAGCGTTTTAGTTTCCCTCCCCCTTCCTATAGCTAACAAACTAGTTTGCTTTGCTCCAAGACGATCCTATCATATCCTATCCATGGAGTAGCTTGGATTTGGTTTCAGTTTACTATGTACATGCAGGGATGGTTGGTTTCAGAGATGGTCTAGGACCTATTTTTTTCAGCTGTAACAAATTCATCAACTGAGCTAGCTTTCAACCCTTTTTTGCCATGGTTTTGGGTTGGTCCTGCTTACGCCAAATTGATCCATTGGCTTGGTTCAATTTATATAGAGCTCTACATGCCCAAGAATAAGAAAATCTTGCTGCCAATCTGATGCTACAATTGTGTCTTTTTTTACTATTATATTATGTGTTCCACTGAACATTCAATCTTTAACCTTTGCTTGTGTAAAATCAGACTTTCTTCTAATGTTAATGGAGTGTTTGCTTGTTGTGCTGGAAAAATAGTTCATCATCCTTCATTTGACATGTGCAAGCAATGTGTACAGATTGCATTTAGATTCCAGCCCAACTAGATTATAGTTTAAGCGTTTTAGACCAAGCCATCTTGGTTTGGCGGCCACGGGGAGACGAGGAGGAGGGGCAGCAGGAGGCGGTGGACGACATGGCCATGGAAGTGCCCCCTTTCCGTCGTAGAACTACCACGCTGACTGCCGCCGTGCATCACATTTGTATGTAATCAAGTCTATACTCCTGTGAGGCATATCTAGTCACTCTCGCCTCCGGCAGGGATGCAATCACTGTTTCAAATAGCCCGCTATAGCTCCGCTATAGCACGCTATAGCGTTTACAAAAGGTCTTGCGCTAAGAGACTTTGGTCCAAACAAATGAACAAACATTTTAAATAGCGCGCTATAGCTCCGCTATAGCACGCTATAGCATTTGAAAGAGGTCCGACGCTAAGATGCTTAGCGCGCTATTTAAAACTTTGGATGCAATAGCCTCACCTTCCTACTACAGCAACCCAGGGGAGGATCCAGCATAGGTATATGAAAAAAAAGTACTGCGTACATGCTTGAGTTCAGACTTCAGAGAGTACGCGGGAGTGAGTTAATCAACTCAGCTTCAGTCCAGATAAACTAGTCTAAGCAAGCCAAGAGTTCACCAATCCCCTCCAAAGTTCCAATTTGAAATTGCATTCAGGTGTAGCTTCTGTTTGGATTTAGAGATGTATCTTTGTACATAGAACTGTCCAGATGTAATTTATTCCATTAGTAAAAGAATAACAAATTAATTTTTTAAAAGCAAACGTAGGCTGAAATAGAAAAAAAAAGTTGATGTTAGGGTGATTTTTTTAACACCCAAAGTTGAATTCTTGGATCCGCCACTTCAACAACCCCGGGGATGCAACATGCCCCCTCGCCGGAGGTGGCGGCGGCACTCACGTTGAGCTGAGAGACGGTCGACCTGCTGTCGTCAATGTCGTCACGACCTCAGCCACAGTGACCACAGCCATGGCGGCCACGACGACGACCACGACCACGACTAATTTATTTTTGTATTTTGGAGTGTCCCACATTTGGTGTAAATAGTCCCAAGTTTTCCTTTTCACTATGTAAAATATTACCAAGCTAATACCAGAACCACTGTCCGGACTTCTTAAAAGCGTATGTGCCTATACTAAAGCATACTGCCACATTCAGCTTATTTAACCTTGGTAGTTTGCTTACGACATTCGGGCTAGGTTACTGCATGTGTATGTATTTGGAGTAGCCTGGTCAGGATGGGCTCTAATTGGTGTGTCATGTGTATGCTTCACAGCTTTAGTATACACTTGATTACGTTTTATTGATGTACACATATATATGCTCTGTTTGATCTTTGAAGCCTAGCTTTCTATTTCTAAATCAAAATTATAGACATATGGTATGCTAAAAGACTTCTGTTCTGCATGCTTTTGTTCTGCACGCTATAACACAATTTGATTTCATTTAATTTTTGAAGCCTAGCTTATTTTTGCTTACAGCAGCTTCAGTATAGAGACTTGAATAGATATTTTTCTGGTTACTTTTTTATGCCTGCTTTACGTATCGCATTTCTTCTGAAATTTACTCAAATTATGATATTACGCACAGAAGGGCACAATGATGAATTGAACGCAAGATCCTTCTGGTGATCCAACAGACGCAAACATCAGGTGATTATAGTCATATGCTTGCGAACTTGTCAGATTTATTTGCTTACTTGCATTGCTAAAAGTGCACTTCTATATGCAGATGCCTAAGAAAAGGATTTGCAAATAAAATAGGAATCCAAACTTGCAAAATTCTCTTTTACAGACCGCTAGTACAACTGGGACTCTAGGTACAAGGCACAATGTAATTGCTCCAAATACGCTCATACAAGTTGCAACAATGAATTCTCGAATGTTTCGAGCAATGGTAAGTCACAAGCTTGGTTTGTCTTCATGTTGGCCTTTATTTGATACGTAAATGGCCTTCATAATGTGCAACCATCTACTTGCTTGCACTATTGTACTTTTTTTTGTTGCTGAAGCACATACAGGAGGGAAGCCAGGAATAGAACAATTTTCTCACCATTAGAAATTGTGAAATTGTGCCAGCATGTAGTTGTTTCGGAGAAATTTAGTTTGATTAATTTAGGTAATTATTCTTGTGTTTGAACTACAAAATATTTTGTGAAATTATCCAATTCTTTTTGCATAGCACCTAATTGTTGATGGAGTAGTACAACATGCACAAGAATTTGCTTGGTAGCTGTTGTGTTCATGACAATTCGTCAGGAAGATACCCATGCATGCCTGAATATAGTAATTATACAATTATCATGATAGTGGTTATATCTTTCTGCTAATTAGTCATTGTGTTGTTTCTTTATTTTTCTGACTAAGTATTTTCTATTTTCAATTAACTTGAGCTAAATAAATTTCTCATTTCTTCATAGCAGGATCCAAAGATTTAGCTGGAATGGACTCTAGACCACGGACAATTTAATCTTCTCTCTTAATTAGGATGGCACATTCAGTATGTTGAATGCATGCTAAATTATATTACAGTTCATTGTGATGGATATTGGCTATGCAAACTTTGATGTTTGATGAATCTACACCATATATGCATTATCTGAATCATGTAATTGAATGCCTGTATTTTTTTTTCTGGTTACAGTAGGCTATTACCACAAGCTACTTTTGGTTGCAACATGTTGGCACCATGAAAATTAGGGTTGCGTCAAATCTTAGTCGCCACGCTGACCTATTTTCTAGCACTAGGCTGTGGCGATGAAACACTTCATATAGTCGCAATAACTTGTCACAATAAAACTCAGTCCGTTGAGATAACTAATTGTTGCCACGGAATTCAGTATTGGTGAAATAGGCCTTTCGCCATGAAACGTTCATATTGTCGCAACAACCTCTCACCACAACCAGTCTGTCCGTTGTGATAACTATTTATCACCACCGAAAGGAGTATGTTGCAATTTTAGTATTACCATGTCTGAAGAGTCGTTGCCATACTTTACTGCCACAAACATAGGGTTCGTGGCGAAAGGACTATACCCACAAAAACAAGAGTTGTTGCCTTAGGGTATTGCCACAATTGACTATTGCCACGAAAGAGCACGCGCCACGAAAAAGAGTTGTTGGTATAGGTTATTGCCACAAATGCCTATCGCCACAAACAACTAAACCGCCACGGTTTGCTATGTGTTGCATTAAGCTATTGCCACAAACCAAATTGTGGCATCAAGTGCACGATGCCACGAGAAAAAATGTGGCATCTTGCAACATTGTTGTTGCAATAGCACGCTTTCTTGCCACGTTTATTTTTTTGTGGCAATAACCTATTACCATGTGTCCTGTCGCAACGCCTGGCAACGAACATGATGTCGTGGCAATAGGTACCTATTGCGACAATTGGGTACTTATTGCAACAAATGCTTTTGTTGCAATAGACCCGGATCCTTGTAGTGAACCTAAAAGCACTCTACAGTAAAAAATGGCAGCTAATCTCATGAGCGCTAAAGTTTCTGTTTTTCACAGAAAGATCATATAAACTTCACCCAAGTCTTCCCAATGGTTCTACTTGGCACTTTATTGAAACAAAAGCTATAAAACATGATTACTACAGTAGCATAATCATGTGGACACCAAAACAGTAAGTATAAATATTGCGTTGTCTCCCAACAAGTGCTTTTCTTTAATGCCTTTCTAGCTAGGCATGATGATGACAATGATGCTCACATAAAAGATAAGAATTGAAACATAACGGGAGCATCATGAAGAATATGGCTAGCACATTTAAGTCTAACCCACTTCCTATGCATAGGGATTTTGTGAGCAAACAACTTATGTGTGACGCCCCCGATTTAATCGTACACTAATCATGCACGCAAATGTGTACGATCAAGATCAGGGACTCACGGGAAGATATCACAACACAACTCTAAAACATAAATAAGTCATACAAGCATCATAATACAAGCCAGGGGCCTCGAGGGCTCGAATACAAGTGCTCGATCATAGACGAGTCAGCGGAAGCAACAATATCTGAGTACAGACATAAGTTAAACAAGTTTGCCTTAAGAAGGCTAGCACAAACTGGGATACAGATCGAAAGAGGCGCAGGCCTCCTGCCTGGGATCCTCCTAACTACTCCTGGACGTCGTCAGCGGCCCGCACGTAGTAGTAGGCACCTCCGGGGTAGTAGACGTCGTCGACGGTGGCGTCTGGCTCCTGGACTCCAGCATCTGGTTGCGACAACCAGAAGGAAAGGAAAGGGGGAAAAGGGGGAAGAAAGCAACCGTGAGTACTCATCCAAAGTACTCGCAAGCAAGGAGCTACACTACATATGCAT